CTTTGAGCCACTTTCGGTTTTCTGGAGGGTAATTGGAGATAAGAGTCTTGTAGACTTTCCTTCCTAGGCTGGCTTTGAACAGCGATCCTCAAATCGCAGCCTCCTGATTAGTATTACAGACATGAGCCACTGGTACCTGGTTAGACCTCACTTCTTAAAGTTCCTATTGGTACCATTGCATGGGAGCAAGCTTCTAGCCCGTGAACTTTGAAGGACAAACCACAGCGGGAAGTACGACAGAACCTTATCTCACCCAAACAGAAGGAGAAAAATAATCAAACATCTTTGTCTCCTATTAGAATTCATATATTCAGTTGGTAACTGTTTTGGAATGCCAATTGCCAAGGAGCTCATGTTATCATGGAGATCAGGACAGATTCAGCCTTCATTCATGTGGAACTTAACAGTAAAACCATGTACTGGATTGAATGGAGTCCTTCCCCAAATACCTTGTGTCTTAACCCCTAGTCCCTGTGAATGTCAGTGAATGATCTTACTAAGAAATAGACTCCTGATAGATGTCATTAAGCAAAGGACTGTGGCATTAGACTGCTCTGGAGGTAGGGTGGGCCCTGAATTGAATGTTTGCTGTCCTGAGAAGGGGGAGGGGAGGCAAAAAAAAGGGAGAGGAGAAAGAAAAAAGAGGAGAGGAGAAGAGAAAATAGACCTAGAGACAGAGAAGAGACCACATGAAGAAGGAGGCAGAGATTGGGATGGTGTTCCAAATTAAGGGACCTGCAGGGATTTCTATAAACCCCCCAAAGTCAGGAAGGGAGCCTGGGATACATTCACCCTCAGAACCTCTGGTAGGAAGCAACCCTGTAGACAGCTTGACTTCAGACTTCTGGCTTCCTGAACTGTGGCAGGATTGCAGCCACTTGACTTGTGGTATTTGCTTACATTGTCCTAAGAAACTACTGAAAAGAGGGTGAAAAATGTCAGTGCGTTTTCTCAGCATTGCTCAGGACTCTGATGAGTTCCTCTCTCTCATGTTCTTAATGAATCTAAAGAAAGAAAGCCAATGAATCATTACATATCATTATGGTTTGTTTGGCAAAAACGATTTTTAAGCTGCGTGCTGATAGCTCATGTTGTAATCCTAACTACTCAGGAGGCTGAAATCTGAGGATTGTGTTTCAAAGCCAGTTGGGCAGGAAAGCCAGTGAGACTTTTTTTTTTGTTGGCTTGCTTCTGGGCCTGTGTGCTGTCCCTCAGCTCTTCAGCTCAATCCTAGGACTCTACCACTTGGGACACAACACTACTTCCGGCTTTTTCTGTGTATGTGGTACTAGGAATCCAACCCAGAGCTTCAGGAATTCTGGGCAAGCACTCTACCACTAAGCCACATTCCCAGCCCTCCAGTGACTCTTATCTCCAATTAACTACCAAAAAGTTGGAAGTAGACTTGTGGCTCAAATGGTGGCGCACTAGCCTTGAGCTGCCTTACAGGCAGCTCTCGGGCCCTGAGTTCAAGCTCCAGGATTGGTACCAAAACCAAAATAAAAATAAAAGCTTTTATTTTAGGGAATGGAAGGAGTCCTTGGTAGGGAAAGAGTTGGGAGCTGTTGGAACTGATGTTCTCAAAGGTCCCTCCAGCTAGGAGGAAATATTTCCTGGGCCACAGAGATAACTAATGGTAAAGCCCTGTAAGTAAAAAAAAAAAAAAAAAAAAAGATTCTGGAAATAATCAAGTTTACTTTTTTTTTGTGACAGTCTCTAGGTAGCTCAAGCTTTGAACTACTCTATCGCCTAACCTCATCTGAAGCTTGAGATCTGCTTCAGCCACTCCGGTGCTGGGATTACAGTTGCTCATTACCACATCTAGTCACTTCCTGCTTTTAAGTAAGATAAAATCTTGAGGCTGGGCCTCCTGCTTTCTACTTGATCCCCATCTCAGCACACAGAGTCCGTCTGGACCTTGGTTCACGATCTGCCTGCCCCAGGCTTAGATTTGGTGCTTTGCATAGCTAGGTAACTGTCTCAGGCAAGGGCTAGGGGGAGGGGCCCTTCAGGACAGAGGAGACAGGACGAGAGGCGCTGCTCCACATCAGCAGGGGAGGACGCTCCTGAGGGTGACTTGTGAGGCCTCTGAAGAGGGCCAGGCTCATTAGCACACTCAGGGGTCTCAGAAGTCTCAGCTGTCTGATTTCTAGAAGACACTAGTGGGGATGGGAAGATAGAGAAGGAAGCCGAGGCTCTGTCACAAGAGATCACAGGACCTGTCTTGGTGCTACCTTTGAAAGAACTGGGAGGTGCAGAAAAAGTGACAGAATATGAGAAGAGGGTCAAGATGTTTCTGTTTGTTTTGAGTCCAGTTAGCTTTTAGGGCAGAGAGACTCCCCCCCACCCCACCTCAGCCATGGTTTGCTCATTTTAGAAAAAAATAGAGACTGATCGCTCCTTCTCCAGAGTCTTTATCAGGGATAGAAGTTAAAACCACTTGGGGCCAGATGAACATGGCACCAAGGACCCAGTAGGAGGCAACCATATGTGTGTTTCCTTACAGGCTGGCCGTTCCTGGCAATATGTGTGACTCTTGCCTCTGTGGGCTTCAGGACCCTGTCCTGAAATGATGGAATTTTTTTCACTACGGGACTTTGGGCGGAGGCTGACCACCTCCATTGGGGCTGTTCTGCTTCCTTCTCCAGGTTTTCCATGAGGCACAAAGCGATTTCCTGTCAGGAACCGCCATGATATCTATCAGGGCCAGCAGGAGGGACTTTGCAAACACAGCCCTTTATCTCTGCCCAAACACAATGCTGGTCTCTTTTCTGCTATGGAAATAGAAAAGGGAGGAAAAAGGCCTTTTACAAAACGTGCACATGGAGAGCAGTGGATTGTATTTTTGTATGTTATAATTATTTCAGGGACGTGTAGAGAGCAGGTAGGAAAGAAATGCAAGGCACACACAGACAATAATCAAAATAATCAACATGGCAGCCCTGAAAAGGATGGCAGAGATAGCAAAATCCAGAATTTGCCTCAGTTTAGATCCTGTACCTGTGATGGCATCTGGGATAGTTTTAAGACTTACACACAGAAAAGGTGCAGGCTAAACTTCTTTGCCAGACCAAAAAAAAAAAAATCTACGCAGAGCCTTGTAACATTTTGATTGCAGTGTGTTTTGTTTCTTGTACTGTTCCCTTTTGTTTTCTACGAAAAGGAAGCCAGTTCCCCACTGCTTACAGCGATAAAGGGTTCATTTAAAATATACTTAATACTGGAAGTACAGATGAGAAAATAGCAGGTAGACATGTATTTTAAAATGCAAAACAGAGTTGGTGGTGCTCCAATGAATCAACATTTGATATAATTCCAACTTGTAGTCTTACTAAGAAAGAAACCAAGGCTGAGGAGGGCTGTGCTTGGCCAAAGTTTCCCAAGAGAGAAGAGGGCAGAGATACATAGACAGACTTGGGTTGACCCAAAGCCATGGAGCCCTCATCTCTGGTTCTGATCCCACAGACGGTACCCTCCCTTGGTTCCTGATGGTGAAGAGTGTACCCTCACTTGAGACACAGAAACAGTTGTTCCAGACCCTTCCCCCAGCCCCAGAGGTCAAGATGTAAGACAGAAGCAGAAGTCTGGTCTCAGCTCTAGGTGGGACTTTCTGAAGATACAGCACCATAGCTTTAGATTCATTTCTCCAGTGCTTTACACAAGTTTCTTAGGACCTCATCACTTCTGTTTTTACTCATGGGGACTCTGCTGAGGGCCCTTTTTGTCTGTAACCTATATATTTGGGGTTTTTTTTTTTTAGACACCTCAAGGGAAGGCAGAGAAACATGGATGTTTACAATGCTTGGTACTGTTTAGCTTGAAGTATGAAAAATGAGAGAGCACTTTTCCTTGAGGTGTGGGGAAATTAGACCTGAAGATCAGCTTAACTCCAGAAGAGACTGAAAATCTCAACAGTCCTCTTGGTAAGCTTGTGTAGGTTCTAAAACCAAGGAGGCGTGGACTAAGTAACTCTGGAAGTCCCGTTAGACATGACAAAGCTAGACAGGGTCTCCTGTGAAGGGACAGGAGGGCGAGTGATTGTCTCCAGGCCCAATCCTTCTCTCTTCATATTGCATTTCTGGGGTGCCCAAAGCCCAAGATTGAGGACACTGGATCAGGAGATGGGAGGCGGCTGAAAGACTTGATTGGTGGAAGTCCCGCCCCCAGTCTAGGGAAGGGTGGTGTGACACTTTGCTAAGTTTTAGGGGACACCCAGGGAGCTTCAGATAACGTCTGTGAGGGATTACAGAGCCACCCAGGAGATACTACTGTCTGAAAACACTGAGCCTGGACCCCCAGTGACATGGGAGGTCTCCCAGAGGGGCCTGAAGGACAGACAAATGAGGGAGCAACTTAAGCGTCAGCCTTGGAGACCAGAGTTTCCTGGATTCTCTGACCACTTGGGTCTACCTCTGCGGTAGAAACAACATCTCTAGGGACAGAGAGATTATCTCCAGATCAGGAAGCAGGGGCCAGGGAGAAAGGACAGGTAGGACTGTCACAAGGGGCCAAAAGTCAAATAAACATTGAGCCCTTAACTTATTACCCATTAAAACAATGCTATGTGTTTTCTTCAGCCTTTATTATGAGCTTTGTCATAAAACACCAGAACAGGTCACAAAGATCAAAAAGCTAAAACTAGCAGGATTTGAGATAGCCAAACAAATGATAAAGACATGGATGAATTGTCACCAAAGACAAGCCCAAATAAGTCCTGTGGATTCACTTGCTCTACCTAACTTTCTTTTTAAAAAAATCACTAATCATGGAGGTCACAGCTAAGCAATACTTTATTAGTTTCCCACTAGCTTTGCTGGAGATAACACCTCTGATTTATGGTTTATGGTAACGGTTGCCTAGGTGACTTCACAAACATTCAAAGCACGGATTCTTCACTTGAACCTATAGATACCTGCTAGATGAGTAAAATGGGGTTAAGAACTTGGCATTTCCACTGCCATGACTTTGAGCCGAACTCTATTCAGCTCTTGTGTGTAGACATGGGCTATGTGACAAATGTTCTATCCAAGACTCTAATACAGACTTCCCTTGGCCTACTGTTGGTTGGAGCTGACATGTGTTTCTTGTGCTTTCTTAAAACACAAGCACCCATCGTCCCTCAGCCTCATTGTAAGATGCAGAACCAATCATGAGGCAAGCCTGTGTATGCAAGAGAGATCCAGCATCTCCAAGGAGCCCGTACAAAAGAAGGCCAAGATGTTTGCTCCCAAGAACATCTTTTGAAACTATGACTAATGGACAGTTACAAAACTTTAGCCTCCTCCTCGCCTCCCCGGCCAACCAACTCTAGAAAATCAGCAAGTGCCTATGTCTTGGTTCCTTTGTTCAAGCACCAAGTGTGGCCACCTTTGGTCAACACCACTTCCTTTTGGATTGAGTTGGCTGCCTTTGAGTTGAAGTCCCGATAAAGGAGTCTTGCTTGTCTTGTTCAAGATAGGTAGTGTGGTCTCGTTTCTGTTGTTTTTGTGCTATAAGGTCCTGTGGTCTGATATGAAAATTAGTCAGCCTGGTGGTCTGATGAAGGCAAACACGTCTCCTTGGGGGCATTACAAGTCAGTGTACAGGAGAAGAGGCGCTTAGCTGAGATTCTTCCAAGCCCCATACATTTTCACATTGTAGCTTGAGCCATTGAGTACCCTTGCTGAAGTTGGTATAAATTTCCTTTGTTTTTGGTTCTACAACTTACCATTGTAGGCTCTCTCCTCTCTCTCTCTCTCTCTCTCTCTCTCTCTCTCTCTCCCACACACACACACACACACACACACAAAGCAACAAATAATGTGCAGAGGTTCACAGAAAATAAAAGTGGTTAAGGATTGGCATTAAGAGTGTTCCTAAAATCAGATTTATAGCAGGAGCAGAGAAATGAGCTGGCCTCCCTGGCCTTTCCCAAGAGAATCATCGAACGGAGCCAAAGAAATTCGTCCCCACAGACTCCTGGCCTTTTGGAGGCACAACTTGATTGCCACCACTCCGAGCAGAGTGCGTGGCATTGTGACTTCCGGTTTGTGGCTCCTATTTGAAACCCTCATTTGTTGTCTGTCCACAGCCTCTAACCTGTAGACTGTGTCTTCCTCCCACAGTCCCTTGGGTAAGGGCCTCAGCTGTGGAAGCTTCCTCTCCACACCGCCAGGTGTCACAAAGCACATTTAAAAACTGCCAAGATTTGAGTTTAGGCCACATCATTCCAACCCTGACTTCAGATTTTAGTGACAAGATCTCTCTGCCTATGTTTTTTCATGATACAGTAATAAGAACTTGATTAAGATGAAGAATAATGATCATAAGCTCCTCCCAGCCAGCATGACCCTAACCTAACTCCTGGGCCCCTCACTACAGAAAGAGGACGGTATCTGGGCAGGCAGAGCCATGGTGTGGACACCGGCCGAAGTGGGGTCCAGTTGTCTGATTAGTCTGAACTTTGTCACTGACTTAGGTTGGGCCTTCCAAGTCAAGGCCAATATCCAGTAGGGCCTTCGATAAGTTTGATGCTATGCTGTTGAACGACTTCCAAGAAAGCTCAGTTCTAACTTCTAGAGTAAACACATGGCTAAGTCACGAGGGAGTTCCTCTCTGGTAACTGATATCTGAGAGAATAGAATAGGTAGAATGGAATGAATGAATGTATGAACAGAATGAATGCCTCCCTGACAGACATCCTTTCTTGGCCACATGGCTAGCTGCCACTTGTGTGCTAAGGAAAGGCTGGCATCGTTGCTATGCCTGGAAGATTGGGATGATAAGAAACACTTGGAGGGGAGGATGGGAAGGGATGGGAAGGGGAAACAAAGGAGGAGGCTACAATGCTTGATAAGAAGTGTGCTCATTATCTTGCCCCTCTGTACAGTATTTTCACAATAAAAAATAAATAAAAATTTAAAAAAAGAAACACTTGGAGTGGGAGAGAAATAGAGGAAGAAAGAAGAGAAGGAGAGGAGGAGAGAAGAAGGAGGGAAGGGAGAAGAGCGCCATTCCATCAGGAGCTGGCTTGGTTCCCATTCTGAAGTCGCTTTTGACCCATATTCTCACTGACAAGTGGACTCCTTTTTAGGTCTGTTCCCTTGTATATCAGGAAGAGAGATTGAGAAAGACTGGCACATTCCAGGTCAGGCTACTTGCCTGTGTCCACTGGAACATAGGATTTAGGAACACAGGGTGCGCGACTTGGGCCTCAGACCACAGTGCCCAGTGAATGCGTATGTGGCTTGCTTTTCTGTTTTGAGCCTCAGAAAACAAGGCCTCCATGTCTCTTCCTGGAATTACTTCTTGTTTTTTCTTTCTGGTTTGGTCCACCTCCTGGTGATTTGCTGTTGTACTGGCTTTCCTATGGGACTGTCATTGTTGCTGTAACACAGCCCTGACTCCATTTTTTGTTAACTAACTGGAAATCTTAAGGGCCCTGTGGCTTAGAGCAGCAACAAATGTGCATTAGCTCATAATTTCTCTTAGGCAACTTAGCTGAGAGGTTCTATCCCAGAATCTTCCATACAGTTATAGTCAAGAAGCTAGTGAGAGTAGCTATGTCATCCCATATTGGGCAAGTTGGGATGGTTGTCTTCAAGACAGTTTCTTCAAGACATGCATCTCCTCATAGGGCAGCTTGTGTTCATCATGATAATCAGCATGATGGAGTAAGAGAAGCAAAGACAGGGATAGCAAGGGTTGGCAATACCAGGTATGGCCTGACCTCCGAAGCTATACCTTGTCACTTCTATGTCATTCTATCTGTCTTCTTCTAACGGATCAGTTCAATCCATCATGTGAATGCCAGAAGGGTGTGATCCTTGGAGCCCTGGTGAAAGCTGGCTACCAGAGAGTCTTCTCAGATCTGCAAGGCTCTTGGTCTCTGGGCAGCTGGTTCCTTCTGCCAGGAACTTGCAATAACACAGGGCTGAAATCATGAAGTCTTTATGGTTCATTCAAAGCAGTTACAGCTGCAAATCCTCTGCGTCAGGCAATTTGAGAGACGCAGAGACCAATAAACATTTAGACCCATAGAGAAGATGATACTCAACCTGGGGAGAAGGCAGTATATCAGAGGGGGTAGCACCTGGGTAGGGTGAGTGAAGGACAGGTGAGTGGAATGATGTGGGGAACTCAGGACAGGCTGCCTCTAAAAGCTGAGGCTCCGTTGAGCGTTGAGGAATGAGTGGGAGTTTACCCAGGCAGAGGGAGCGAGAGCGGAGAACAACAGAAATAGTTTCCATTGGTGGAAAAGTTTGTCTCATATTCCTTTGCTGGAGGCAAATGTAATTTCATGGCTTTTTGGGATCCCTGCCCCCTTGTGATCTGATAGGGTGTGCACGAGTGTGTATTTATAGACTGATGTGTCATTTTCCTTTGTTTTGGAAGAGGCCTTTACCTCCTGGGATCGGTGGATGTCTGAAAAGGAACATGTGGGTCTCATAATCTTCCCTAGATCTGCAGTTAAAGGCCACTTGTGAGTTCTCAGTGCTATCTGCCACCTGGAAAATGCAAATATACAAACCTTGATATGATTAGAAAACTTACATGCCGGGCACTCATTTGTACATGTCGTTTTGCCAGCCTGTTCAAGGTTTACCCTGTGGTCTGCTTCATGGAGGTCTTGGATTATATACATTCCTTGGAGACAGAGATCCTGTTAATCCCCGCCTCCTGTCTTCATAGAGAGAAACGTACCCTGCGCACTTGAGACATGAGAGAGAACAGGAGAGGCAGAGTGGAGGCTGTGATCTGCCTGGATGCCTCCTTCTCCTTCATCTCCAGTCAGCCTAGTGTGCCTGGCCTCTCCTGCTCCCTGGCCCTAAAGGTTCCTCCTGGTTTCTTCCTTTCCCTCCCTTCCCTTGCCCTCCACAGAATCTTAGAGGAGTTTCTCTGGACTGTAGGGTGGAGAGCTTAGTTTCCATCTGGAAATCTTCAGGGATAGAGAGACCTGTACAGGTCTGAGCCTGGGGGAGACGGGTGGGGCTGGGCAGGGCTGTTCCCAGTTGGCACAGGTTAAGTGATGTCAGATAACATGTTCTCTTCCAGCCCTGCAGCAGTTCCCAGGCCTGGAGGGAGGCCCGATGCCAACCTCTCAAGTCACGCTCAACTGATAGTTGAGGTTTGAATGTTGGAGAGAAGGGCCTGCAGGGGAAGAGAAATGCAATCCACCCAAGACAAGCAGCCTGATCTCATCACCCTACCCTTCTGGGGATGAGGGATGGGGCTGCTTCTCTAGGCCTCCAGAGGATGGTGGAGAGAAGAAAGCCTGGTTTCCTTTCCTACCACAAGGCAGGGGAGAGAAGGGGAGATGCAAAGGCAGTGGGCGGCTGCTCACCCCAGGTTAGCTAGAACAGAGCCCACTTAACCTTCACAGTCTCCACGGGGTCTATGAGCCCTTTCCTGGCCTAGATGCAGGGGCTGCTCTTGAGACTGACTTAGGAATCCTGCCATGGTCCACTTGTGCTCAGTGAGAGGTTTGCTCAGCTGGAGGTGGGGGGGGGGCGCAGCTCCTGTGGGGCTCCTGATTCTCTGGACTTGGAGACCCTGTAGATAGACATGGTTTGAGAGTGAGGACCACAGCCATGACTTCCAGATGGATGGATCTGGCCACAGTGCTGCCCAGATGACTTGATAGAATGTTTCAATTCTGTCGGTATGGATATGACTTGAAGGGTGTATACCAATGGCATATCTATTTTTCTGGCTCTGGGAAATTTCTCTTTCAGAAATAGACTTTGAAAAAAAAGATTTTATGTTCACTGTTCAACTGGGCACTCCTAAGTCCAGATCCCCTCATATGCTCCCATCCCCATTAGATGTACAACGCCATAGTACCAGAGGCCTACATCACAGTGCTACCTCTGTGCTAGCTGATGGACTTCTGAGCCATCACTGAGGTTCACAGAGGTTCACAGAGGCATCTGTGAACTCTTGGTGTCAGACATTGGACATTGTCTGGGTTTTGATGAGTGCATAATGACTTGTAATAATCAACCCACTATTGCTCCTGAATCATTCAACAATAT